TTTTCCAATGAGTTAGATAACTTTATTCAGTGCTAGCAGTGTCACCAACACACTTTTTTCATCATTGGAGTGAATAAAATTAACTAAGACCTTACTGGTTAAAACCGTAACGGGAGAATAATAATTCGTAAGTAAAGTCTACATAAGTCTACAACTCAGTCAACATTTACTTTTCCGGTTAGAATCCATAATTAATTTTGTCTGTTAAACACTATAGTTTGTGGAGATAAATAATCAATTAAAATACCATATTAAAGCAGTTAAAATAAAATTTACAGTCAGGTGTTTCAGGGATCGCTTCCTATTGAATGACTGCGTGGAAAGAGAGAGATTGACCTTCTCTGACAAAAAGTGTATTCAATTAAATATCTAAACGCATTGCAACAGTGATACAATATTATTCAAGTTAGGAATAAAATTATTTGTTGTATATACATTTCCTAAAACATATACATAGACGTTAAACCGTCCCATACGTTCTACATGTTTTTGGCATTTTCACTCTTATCCGTTTTTAATTCTATGATGTACTAGACCCCTTTGACGTGGCAACATGATTTTTATTGTGCACTAGTGAGTTGGTTCACTTGAAAATGACATTTAAAATGTTCACACTGCAGTGTACACAATTTAACTATATAGTAAACTAGCCTTATGGTTTCTCTGAATAATATAAATTATCATTGAATGAAACTGTAAAGTAACGGTATCTGAATGTCCGAATTAATTTCGTGAACCTAAGATTGTCGATGGTTAGCGTCGTCCACCTGACATTTTTTGTGACATAATGGTATCCAGATGGCTGCACTGTGCCATTAAATCATGTGTCACAGTGATCCTTCATTACTACACATGATTCATTGAGTTTTAAATCATTTTGTGAAATATCAAAATTTCATAAAATTTTACGTTCTAGTAAGTAAATTAAATTCACTATAATGATCAAATAGTTCGAACTTCTCGTCAAATGATTCCATAATTTTTATATAACCACTTACAATGTTAATGCTGATTATTATTCTCAACCATGGTGATAACATCAATGATAACAATATTTGTGTTAACCTTAGTGCCAAGAACGATGAACTGTACGTCATGCTCACCCACAACTTAGCTTTGCTTACAAGATGTATTCTATATGTCATAAAAATAGCAAAATTAACATGTCTAATAATTTGTGTATTCTAATAAATATTAACGGATCGATGAGTCGCTGGAATATAGGGTAGTGTTCATTTCATAGTTTTCAAAATTAGTATTATTACACATACTAAGATAACAAATACTTCTTATCAAAGAACAAGAAATATAGAGGTCTTGACAGAAATATCCAAGGGTCTACATTGACTTAGCTAAACGTATTACTTAGGTTTTACTCACAGTCTTTACTATCGCACATCTTTGTGTATATGTGGCAACAGTTCCACAATCCTGGAATAAATGTTCATTTTTCTAACCGTATTTTATCGTGATCATCTATTATAAATAATGTAAATACATTCCCAACGGTTTCTCGTTTTAAATAAATATCGATTCGCCCTACATCTTATAAATACAATTCGCAAATGATCGGTTTACTGATTCGATTAGGAGATTATGGCAGAAACTCGATTAATGGCAAAGTATATCAGTGTTTTAAAGTTGCTTTCTAAGCCACTTCACATCTTATAACCTCCATAACATTCTGCAACCACATTACCAACCTAGTGATCTATACCCAACCTTCCACTACACTTCTCGTACATTAGGCAGCATGGCTAAGATACTTGTTCGAATTTCGCTGAACTTTTGTTAGCACACAGTGGTCATATTAACAGTAACTTCAATTAATTCCTTAATAATGTGAAGTAACTTAATAAAATTCATCGTTAAACACCAGTGAAATAGCTTCCAGAAAATTTTTAAGGGACAAATTTCATATAGAGTTCCACTTTAATCTAAAGCAAATGCTTCCCATGGAAATAATTTAATTTGAACTCCCTTGAGAAACCATTTGTTATCAATTAAATAATTTCTCTGGTGCGAAAAAGTACGGCCATAAACAAATAGAGCAGATATTTTAATATTACTCAAACCCCTCACTATTTCTTTAATACTTGTGGCCATACCATTAGGAGTTAATCTTCGGGACACAAAGAAACAACATTCACTTTAGTGTCAGACAGCTTCTAGTATATGTTACTAGATTGTGTTGTTGCAGACAGTCGCCATTGATTTCATTATTAGTTGCGGGCGAATTGGGTTCTCTTACTGAATTGGCTCAATTTTTTTCTTGTTTTTATCCCTTGTCGCTTTCTTTACTCACGTTCTCCAAGCATAAAATGTACTGGTAGGTCAGTCGCAAACTTCTACTCAGAGGTATGCCAATGAATCCTAGCTCAATGATCTATTAATTTGGACAACCGATCACTAAAGTTTGAACTACGCACCGAAAACCGTCAAGACAAAAAGCATCAAAGCTGTTGGACCGATTATAGGTCATGGAATGGCCCACTCAAAAGCGTACATGCTCTGTGGGTCTCCGGAAACTCTGATAAATGAATAAAACCGATCTGACAAGCTTCTAATTGTCATGTATGGTCCCCAAATAATATGTATCATACAGGCGCAACTGTTAGACATTTAGTTCGTGGTACGACATCAACGTTAGCTAAGAATTCACGCAATCCACGTGCAACTTGAGCATATCAATGATTCAGAATTTTTAATTTACAGTGGCCTTTCTCTAGAAAATCTTTTTTCTTCATTATCGGTTTAAGGTAGTTTATCTAAACGTATATTGTGATTGCAGTTGTCCGTGACCATTCACAAGCAGGCGTGCTTGCGCTAATTGTGGTTTCTTGCCTATATGGCCTATTTTAACACCTAGTCCAGCAGGTTACTACAGTTGTCAAAGGCAGCTATGTCCTATCAGTGGTTTCAATGCTGTGGGATCTTGTAGATTTTGTAGAATATGTGGTCACATAAAGACAATCCTACAACCTTGTGATTAGGTCTTTTAGTATCGTAGCAAAATAAGCGCACTAACATCGAAATAGACCATAATTTTACAAAGTACTCAATAATCAAAAAGTGTTGTCGATAAAACGGATCACTTATCTATCGTCAAGGATTTGAGCAACAGTTTCGAACAGCTAGTCAAAATACAACAGGAATCAGTCTCCCCACAACGTAACGTAAATCTGGGTTCAGCAGAATCTGACTTTCGATAGTCCAGCATCATGCGTCGACAGAAATACTATGGTGGAATCTTACACAAAGTCAAATAACAAAGACCTAGTTTTAGAAGATTGAGAACAACAAATCATAGTTACAATATGTCCTGGATAAAACCCAAAGTACAAAGCACGGTAAAAGAATAAAAGAAAAATGACATTCCTCAATAAAGCACCTTAGAGACATCGTCAAAATGTTGCTTTTATTACAAAACTTTTTCACATATGAAAACTATGATCCTACATGAATGTACACATTTTATCTTGGAGATTTGCCTGTCTGTATTGGTCTAAATTATTCTTTGTCTTTTTCCACGTATAGGCCGAAACACACCTTTTTGCTGTGAAATTGGGATGAAGCGAACCTACAAGCTTCATTTCATTATTCATTTTTATGTTTAGCCTTTGTTTCCACCAAATATAACATACGAAATTAACTAGCAACTTATATTCATCATGGTCTTTATTCATGAAGTCAATAATTGGCATTGTAGCTCACATTAGAGACTTTGAATACCTCTCAAAATAGTATTGATGAGCTGTTAAATCATGTAAATTACATAAATCAACCCTTACCGCATCAACAGATGTAAGGAGTGCCGAATACGAGCTATGGTGACTGTTATAAGAAAATTGATGCCGATTAGAAGAACCTGACCAAAATATGGAGTCATACAGATTTATGAAAACGGAATCATTTGATAACATGAATACTACCCATTTTTAAATGTGTAATAAAAAAGACATAATGGTATTATTTGCGTTTTTAGTATTCTGTATTCCACGGCAGTACCCGAATTTATTTGGCTTAAAAACCCACAAACAATTACCGATTGGAGAGTCCTTGATAACAGATGATTGAATCAACCTAATCAAGCCTAAAGGGGAAGCTCCTAAAGGGGCAGAATCTTTCACGTATCTGGACAGCATCGTCGATAAACAAGGAAGATCTGATGCAGATGTAAAGACAAGGATCAACAAAGCAAGGACACCATTCCTACAGTTGAAGAATTTAAGAACTCAAAACAATTGTCAACTAACATCAAAGTCACAACCTTCAATAAGAACCTCAACACAGTTCTAAGGTATGGGGATGACACTTCTAGAACTACTACAAACATCATCAAAAACGTACAGGTATTTATAAACAGTTTTCTACGCAAGATACTCAGTGTCCGTTGTTCGCCAGATATCATCAGCAACAGCCTACTGTGGGAAAGAACACACCAGCTTCCAACTAAAGAGGAAATTAGGAAAAGATGATGGAAGTGGATATGACATACATTGCGGAAGTCATCAAACTACATCAAGAGGCAAGCACTAACTGGAAATCATGAGGGGACACGGAAGATATGAAGATCAAAAGGTACACTGCTCTGAGAATTGGGAGCAGACATCAAAAGGATGAATAACAACTGGAAAGGACTGTCCAGGACAGAGTTGGATGGATAATGCCAGTGGGCGGCTTATGATCAGCCACGAGGAGTAACAGACGTAAGTAGATTCCCTGATACTTAGTTGCAATATATGCAGAAATCGTTTTCTGTCATATTCGCTCAAGCTTGAGTTAGCCTTATTATCTAAGGCGATGGATAGATGAGTGCAATATAGATATTTGGAGACAGATTCTGGCGATCATAAAAGCCCGCATCGTACGGTAGGCAGAACTACCGACTGTGTTTTCCCTAAAAGAAATAATTGCTTCACTGAACAACTAAACTTCATGAAATAAGTGTTTTAACTACTACACGATTTAGTACTTCTTACTATTCCCTTTCGTAATGTTCATGGTTGTTTTACACTCCTGCTTTTTCAAAAGTACACACAGCTCCCAGGTCGCGGGGTTTTAGTTCTACAGATTTCATAAATTTTATAAATTTGCAAATATGGTTGGATAAGAAATTCAACACTATCTAAGAAAATATTTCATGTAACACTAAACGTAAGTAGCATCCAAAATTAAAGATATCAAACTATAGTGTGAGAACATCGATTTGGTTGTGAAAGACGTATTGTTGATGTAATATCCTATGATTAGTAGTTTCAAAGTTTATTGTCACGCAAAAACGACACTTTTCGCGTTTTGCTCGATTAGGTCACCGCTTTCAACCTTATTAGTCTATCAAATTGTAGTCTGTGTTATTTCAGTCGCTTCTAGTCTTTAATGGTAGAAATAGGAGACACAATGTAACAAATTTATTCTATGGTTTCCAGCACCTTGAAAATCCTATATCCCTTTGATCATGTCGATAAGAGTTTACGAAATCACATGCTGTATTAAAAAATCCCTGTAATACACGACCAGAACACGTAATATCAGCACCTTCTGTTGATATATTCAAGACGAGATTGGACCTCCACAGTGTAACAAACTGTAAGGATTAAAATAGGTCACTAGACCTCCTATACTTATTACTGAAGACTGGAGACTGAAATGCTTCAAAAAGCTTCAAATCCAAACAATTCGGCATTGGGCTTTAAGTCTTGTGAGAATGTTCTTTGGATGATCAGTTCACATAACAAATCTAGCTATCACTTTTAACAAAAATGCATACCAATCTGTATTGTCCCTCGTTTACCCACTAGAAGGGTGCAGTGTGAACGAAATAGCTGTACGGTTAACGACTCATTAGAAATCGCAATTTCCGGATGTTAACACGCTTAAAGTCATTCATACTAACTTACCCCAATATTTGTATCACAAAAATAATGAGTAAAGCCATATATGTCGATAATGTTTAGCATTTGAGAGACTTACTGCTCAGTCTCACCAATAAATTAATTGGAATACAAATAACAGAAAATGAATTTTTACAAAATAAGAAATGTTTTCTCGGATAAACGAAACTTATTATGTTTTCAGCATGCATTTTGTAACAGCCAATCATTAAAAGTGTACAAATTTCCAGAAGATGTGCTCACAAACTGCCCATTCATGTTATTAAAGGTTTGATGCTAGTTTTTCTGGGACTCTCTGAACTTTGCACATTATCTCACAAATATTATGTGGACTAAGCTCCAATGGAAAATGGTAGGGTTATTTGAAACTATCAACGTCTCACAGAAATTAGACATTGATACATTTTAGACTGATATGTCCGTTCACATCATAGTTTAGTAGCTTGTATTTCAATGTCTTTCTAGACTTCACTGTATTTCACATGCCGAGAATCGTTAGATTCTTCTGAACATTAGATTTTATGTGCGCAGTGCAGACCGTTTCAGATCTTCTCAGACCTAGTTCACGTGATAGTTTCGACAGAAGAACAAAATTTGCCCCATTTGCATTACATTTTAAGACTATTTAAATATAAAGAGTACACTATTTAGTCACTTAAAAAACCTCCATTCTTTTCTTCCACTCTTTCAAATTTTGTCTATTTCTGTATTTTAACAGTAATAAAGACAATTACCGTAAGAGTTTTGATGTCCGAAGATGTCCCATCGTAATTACGTACGTGAAGAGCAGTATGTAGGACCTTACAGACTTGAGAAGACGTTGGGAAAAGGTCAGACAGGTTAGTTGATCTAATACCACAGTCTTGTTTAAATTATGTGATTTGTGATGTATAGAAACATAAATTTCATTTTTGATGGTTTGAATTGTTTTGTTGTTGATATTTTAACTGGATTTTGATCAGTCGAATCCCAGAGTGAACATTAACTCTGAGATTCAGGTAGATCTGGCTAATAAGTCCACTCCATGTATTTTATATGTGAGTGTTAGTGTAGCTCATATATGCGCCCGATAGTCTTAAGTAGGATATTCTAGCGAATAAACTGAATGCTTGCTGATAGTCGAGTTGATTGTTCAGCGGTATACCTTTTCCAGTGTATATGTATAACGTTTGACCATTAAAGACAAAAAACATGTGAATTTTGATTTTTGGTCCAGGTTGCCTGGAAAAAAGGTTGCATCCACTCCCTTCTAAATCCATTTGGTGATTAACTTTCTGGAATTTCCTGAAAACTGTTCTGTAGCACTCTATGTTTTTTCAAATTTCGCTTGGGTGAATCGAGGAATTATTTGTTGCTTTAGATCTGTGTCTCAGTAGCAGAAAAGGAATCTTGGTTACAGAGAAGTATGGTTCTGGAAACTAAGAGAAAAAAATAAATTATTCACGAATGTGGGTGATGGAGGAGTAATATTTAGATTATTCTCCTTCAATATCTACAGAATTGAGGCAATCATGAAGATTTCTTTTTAAGGATTCAGCAGAAGCCTTAGCTATAGACCAGTCCTGGTTTTGAGTCCCATTGGTGAGGGAGTCTCATACTAGGACGCAACAGCCGTCCGGTGATTCCAGGTTTTTAATAGTGATTTAGCACTCATTCATCATACCAATTTAAACTTGGCAATCTCTACAGCCCTATGCTGATGATATTTTATTGTTCATTTCTTATTGCCGAAGCTGTCATCATACATATGGTAAAACCTTACCCAAGTGAACAGAGTGAATTATTAGACTTTTATCTTTGCTGTAATTGTTATCAAACTCATCATTATTAAGTGGAGTTTTCAAAGCCACCCCATTCCATAATTTTCTTACTCGACCTACTCAAACATTATAAACAAGCTTTTGTGTTCCTTCACTACTGTATGTGGAATAAATCAAGTTTTATCAGGTAAGGTCTTGTTTAGCTAGCGAAATAGGACAGACTAGCAATGCAACCAGATCTAAACCAATTACTGATAAGTGCTGATCCCTACCAATCAATCAAATTTTTTGTATTGGTAATTGCTGATGAGTTGCGGTAAACTACTTAATGTTCCTTGATTATCTTCACTATTGGGATCATGTTGAAAATGAATTAACTGAAATATTGTTCAGTATTATTTAATTAACCAGAAGTATGCAACAAATTTCCTCGGCTGATGTTCTTCTTGTTTTATAGTTGAAGAGCTGATAAAACATGTGAAAGTCGGTCAAATATGGCCGAACTTCAATCACAGTTTTTTGATGATTGATGTATTATCCTGTATGAAATTTATTTATCAACCTTTCTTGCCTTATGTTTAAATTCTACTTCCCAACTACCGCGAGGAGTTTTATTTCTATTTTATTGTTTCTCTTAATCCCTTCTTGATTTGTTAGTGTAAAGCGTGACAATCGTAAAGTCATCCATTAGCGTTGCTTAAGTTTCCAATTTTCTTCTGTTTATCTGTCTTTGATTTTATTTATTTATTTAAACACATATATTGGTACAAAAGGGCACCAGATACATATGCGCCACACAAAATATTGAAAGTAGGAAGAGAAGTGATGAAAAGATAAGGCAGACTGAAATGTAGAACCAGAAGACTCATTCAGTTAAGAAAGTTATAGCCACTCTTTATGAAGAAAGTAGAAGAAGGTTACAGCAGGCACGCCACTGGCTTCTATTCTGAGCCATATCTGATAACGTCTCTAGCCACTGTGTCGCACCATCTTTCGGACCCCAGCCAGGGAGTCGTGAAGGACCAACGGAAGCTAGCCCTTTGCAGCTTTCTTTCATGCCACGACACCATGCCATACGCTGACCTCCTCTCTGCTTTTTCCAACCAGTCCCAGGGTCGGCAAATAATGCACGACGTGGAAGTCTCTGGGACGACATTCGTAAAACATGTCCAAGCCACCGAAGTCGGTGTTTCAAGATGGTGACACCAATTGAATTATCGTCTCTGCACCCGAACACACGATGCCGAACCTCTGCATTACTAACATGATGTTGCTACTGGATGTCAGCAATCCTTCGGAGACAACGATGATCGAACACAGAGAGACGTCTAACATCCTCAACTCGGAGAGGCCAGGTTTCACAAGCATAGAGCAAAACTGCTCTCATCGACGCGTTGTAGATCCGACCTTTTACAGCCAGACTAACATCACGAAGGCGCCAAAGATGGCCCAGATTGGCATAAGCCGCTCTGGGTTTCATTATATGTGAATCAATCTCATCACTAATGCCACCACCAGCACTTATGTAGCTACCTAGATACACGAACTTCTCAACTACTTCAATCTGCTCACCATCCAGGGTGAGTACAGGATGAGAATCCTGACAGTCTTGTAGGAGTACTTTGCACTTGGAGGGTGCAAAGCACATACCGTACCTATGGACACTGATTGCCAAGTGATTAAGTGCTGATTGCATGCCTTGGGCATTATCGCACAGTAAGACAATATCATCCGCATACTCGAGATCCAGAAGTCGTTCCCCAGGCAACATATCCACACCGCCATTACTTACATCCATCAGAGCTGTTTCCAGGATGTCGTCGATGGCAAAGTTGAAGAGGAATGGTGAGATCGGGCAACCCTTCCTAACCCCACTGCTCGAATGAAACAAGGGAGAAAGGTGGTTGTATGCCCTCACTCTGCCTGAGGTGTTCGTATACGGGGCCTTTAAGATGTTAATGAACTTCTCAGGCACACCCTTCTTCAATAGACAATCCCAGAGAATAGTCCTGTCCAACGAATCGAAGGCAGCCCTGATATCAAGAAACACTACGATTGTTGGCCTGTGATAAGTATGACGGTGTTCTAACATTTGGCGGAGGGTGAAGATGTGATCAATGCATCCTCGACCAGAACGAAAACCAGCCTGCTCCTCGCGAGTCAATCGTTCTCGGGTTTTAAACAACCTACGAAGAATGACAGAAGCCAATAGTTTGGACGCAATCGGAAGTAGACTTATTCCCCGATAGTTGTTACAGGAACAACGTGAACCCTTTTTAAAGATAGGGACGACTATTGACTCATTCCAAGATGTTGGAACACTTTCTTGCTCCCAAACCTTTGCGTACAACACCGTCTGTTCATTAGCCAGAAAGTCACCATCATCTTTAAAAAGTGCCGGAGGTAAGTCATCTGGGCCTGGTGATTTGTAGCGCTTTAAGAGTTGGAGTACCTTGCGGACGTCCACCTCGTTTGGTGGATCAGTCGTCACCGGCCATGGGGGGCAGGACAAGCTGGTTGATGTTGCCGGAGCAGCAGGCCAGTTGAACTGCCCTTCGAAAAATTCCGCCCATCGTCCAAGACGTCGGGAGATGTTAGTGATTGGCATCCCGTCATCCTCGTAGATTGTTTCACTCACACCAGACTTCTTGCTGCCAGTGGCTCGGATGAGTTGGAAGAGCTTCCGGCAGTTACCAGATGCAGCTGCTGCTTCCATCTCATTAGCACGCTCCGACCACCAGGCTTCTCGGTCCTTACGCAAGCTTTGCCTAATTTCATTGCGTAACAGCCTTCGTTTGTGGTCATACTCACGGTCACCCGGAGTAGACCGACGGGCTTCCATCAGTTGTAAGGAGCCAGAAGAAACCCAGTGCTTGTTAGCGGGACGTTTCGCGAAGCCGCAAGCGGCTTTACTCGCCATTTTCATGGCATCGTGAAGATGCAACCAATGCTCATCTATACTTTTCGGTGGGATGGTAGCTAGCCTAGAGGCTAGCTCCGCTCGATACTTACTTGCAACAGAAGTTGCAGCCAGTTTACTAATATCGATCCGTTGGTGGTGGTCAATTCTTCGGCCACTGAAAAGTAAGGTGAGATTGGCGCAGATCAGAGCATGATCAGACTTCAGGTAGGTACTCCAAAAGGAGCGGCAGTCTTGTACACAACCACGCCAGCGGTAGCTGATCGCGATGTGATCAATCTGAGTCCAGGCTTGAGATGCAGAGGAAGGACGCCAGGTGGCACACCGGCGATGACTGTGCCGGAAGTTAGTGCTAGCCAGAAACAGGTTGTGGTATGTGCACAGTTGCAGCAAACGGTCCCCGTTATCTGTCCTGCGACCAACAAGTCCCCATCGGCCACCTAAACGACTCTCTTCTGTGCCTAGACGCCCGACCTGAGCATTCAAGTCTCCGGCTAGTACTACAATGTCTGTCGAAAGCGCTTTCTGGAGAAGAGCTGTTAACTGATGGTAAAACTCATCCTTGATTGCATCCGGGCTGCAATCTGTCGGGGCATAGGCGGAGATGACGAAAAGACACCGTTTCTCACGCCGGTTTCTTCTCACTTTGATGGAACTTTCTAATCTAACGACACATAACCGACTGTTAATGGGGATCCAATCGATTAGTGCTGCCTCAGCCCTAGCGCTAAGTGCAACACCAACGCCTGCAAGACCAGACGAAGATGCCACAGGGTCCCCGGATAATAGCACGTGAAACAAGCTTTTCGAAGAGACAGATGGAGAGCGAATTTGTAGTACTTCACTAGAGTCTTGAATGCGGGTCTCGGATAGACAGCAAACATCAACATTAAGACATTCTAAAGACATAGCCAGCCCCATCTGTTGTCCGATCTGCATTAGTGTGCGAACGTTGAAGGAAGCCAGCTTGAACGGCGTACGTGGTTTCAGAAAGACTGCTTCAGTATTCGTAATCGGTGGAAACATTCACTTTCAACCAGACAGTAACTGGAGATCGTTTAGATAGGACAGAGTTTCCACCATGGGCGAGCTACTGCATAAGTTGGAAAGGAAGGATATACAATTTGGGAATAAAGGGAGTGAAAAAGCGACGTAGTAA